AAATAAAAATCCCACCAAGTTATCTTGTGGCTGTTAACCAACTGATTCCAAAAGTTTATAGAGAGGCAAAAGACCCAAAATAGCCAACATATTATTGAAGGAAGAAAATCAAGTTGAAGGACGAATACCACCCAGCTTCAAGATTTACTAAAAAGCTACAATAATCAAGACAGTGTGGTATTGGTGAAGAAATGGTCAAATAGATCAATGGTACAAAAGCAAAAGCTCAGAAATACATTACATAAATATAGTCAGGATTTTTGACAAAGGAGTGATAGGAATACAATGGAGAAAAAAGTTGTATTTTAAACAAAAGGTGCTGAGACAACTATATATATATATATATATATATATGCCAAAAAAAGAACCTAAGACATAGAACTTACACCTTTCATAAATATTAATTCAAAATTGATCATACACCTAAATGTAAATATAAAACTGTAAAACTCCTAAAAGATAATATTGAAAAAAATCTATATGACCTTGGGTTTAGTAATGATTTTTAGGTATAACACCAAAGGTATAGCCCATAAAAGAAACAGTCGATAAGCTGGACTTCATTAAAGTTTAAAACTTCTGCTCTAAAAAAAAAAAAAAAAGACATTGTTACTAGAACAAGAAAATAAGCCACAGACTGGAAGAAAATATTTACGAATTTTCTTTTTTGGTGAATGAGTGTTATCAAAAGAAAGAAAGAACTCTTAAAACACAACTATAAGAAGAAAAAAACAACTGAATTAAAAAATGGACAAAAGATCTGGACACCTCACCAAAGAATATAGAAATGGCAAATAATAAGTATATTAAATGATGCTCAAAATCTCATGTCATTAGGAAACTTCCATTTAAAACATTTAGATACCACTACTTACCTATTAGCATGATGAAAATCCAAACAGGGATAATGCCAAATGCTGGCAAGAATACAGAGCACCAGGGACTCACATTCATTGCTGGTGGGAATGCAAAATGGTACAACTACTTTGGAAGACAGCTTGGAAGTTTCTTATACAACTAAACATACTCTTAATATATCCTATAATTCTGCCCTTTGATATGTACCTAAAATAGTTGAAAACTTATATCCATACAAATACTAGCACACAGATGTTTAAAGCAACTTTATTCATACATTCAATAGGTAATTGAATGGATAAATGTACTGGGGTACATCCAGACAGTGTAATATTATACAGTATTGAAAATAAATAAGTTATAGTCATGAAAAGACATGGAGGAACTTTAAATGAATATTACTAAGTGAAATAAGCCAATCTGGAAAAGCTACATATTGTACGATACTAACTATACAATATTCTAGAAAGAGACAAAACTATGAAGACAACAGAAAGATAAGTAGTTGCTAGAGATTGGAGGAAAAGAAGAATGAATAGGTAGAGCATAGAGAATTTTTAGAGCAGTGAAACTATTCTGTGTAAATCCCACAGAGCAAAATCAATCAATCAGTCAATCAATCCATCCATCCCATGGAGCAAAATAAATAAATAAACCCCATAGAACTAACTAACTAACTAAATAAATAAATAGATCCCATAAAGCAAAATAAGTAAGTAAGTAAATAAATAAATCCCATAGAGCAAAATAAGTAAGTAAAAAAATAAATCCCATAGAGCAAAATGTAAAATCACAAACTCCCAATGTAAGTTTTTGTCTATCTGAATGCATATGTCACCACTACACTTTGATCATTTCTGAAAAGTCTCTCATGCTGCTTTCTAGTTATGGCTGAATTGAGTCCATCTCAAATCCATTTACTGAGAACAGCTCAGTTTCTCAGAAGGTGACCTTATTTGGGGATGGTGTTTTTGCAGAGGTAGTCAACAAAGTCATTAAGGTGGTCCCTAATTCAATGCGACTTGCATGCAGAGAGAACACCGTGTGAGCATGAAGGCAAAGGTGAAGATCAAGCACCTACAAGCCATGGAATGCCAAAGACGGCCAGCAAACCACTAGAAGCTATGTGAGAGGTGTGGAACTGACTCTCTTCCGTACAGCCTGCTGGAGGAACCAGCTCTGTCAAAACCTTGGTCTTGGACTTCTGGTCTCCAGAAATGTGAGGTAATATTTTTGTAATTTAAGTCACACATAGTATGGTCCCTTGTTAGGGCAGCCCTAGAAAACTGATAGACCAGTCAAAACCTCTTTCAGAGATATAATACTCTGATTTCTGTCACTTATGGGTTAGTTTTGTCTGTCTTATACTTTATATTTATAGAATCATATATGCCTTTTGTTCCTGTTTCTTTTGTTCCATGTGTTTTGAGATATTTATTTATTTATTTATTTATTTATTTATTTTTGTATCTCTAGCTCATCCTCTTCTGTATTGCTCTGTAATGCTTCATTTTGTGCATTTTATACAATTTCCTTGCCAGTTTTTCTCTTAATGGACATTTGGGTTGTTGACAGTTTTTCATTAGTGAAACAAAGCTTCTATGACCACTTGTTCAGATCATTTTGTGAGCCTGTCACTGAGGCTATTTCTGTTGCCTGTTTTTTCTCTTACGGTCTCTCTCTCTCTCTCTCTCTCTCTCTCTCTCTCTCTCTCTCTCTCTCTCTCGTATTTCAGAATGCCTGGTAATTTTTAAATTAATCATGGAGCATCATTAATGAAAAATTGTGGCAGCCCTGTAAGATATTAACTTTGTCTAGTAGGGATTTAACTTCCTTCCAACAGGCAGTTAGAGGAGGGAGATGGAGATCATTTGGGGTTGGGCCTCAGTCGTCTTTAGGTTGGGTCTTCTTTGGTCTTCCCTTAGTTCTAGGTGAATCCTATGGGTCTCAATTGAAAGCCTGGGTGTTTAACAGGGCCCTTCTTCCTTGGTCCTGAACTCCAATTTTGGTCCACTCAGTGCTATGAGACTCCCTAAGCCTCTGCTTGTCTTCATAGTCTTTTAGCACTTGCTTTTACGTGGGGGTCTCAGTTTCTCATCCCACCCACTTTGAAATCAGCACATGACTTGACAATAAAGAAGAAGAGCTCCATTTTCTGTGGTTCTCTGGGCTCTTGACCTTCTGCATCCTGAGCTCCAGTGTTTGTCTCCCCTGACCTGCAAGACTCTCAAGAGTTCTCAAATGCCACTTTCTGTTCAGTTTTTAGCCCCAGTCATTTTTAAACTGGCAAATGCCTCACAGGGAAGAAGGCTAGTATGTGAGGCTTAAGTGAACAGGTCTCTCCTCTCTTGGGTTCTAGCCATCTGTTGCTCTCCAGTGCCTTCAGATTTGTAAAAACTCAGCATGTATAGTTGTTCTTGGTGGGAAGGTACCTATAACCACCTCTTTTGGAGGGAGCTTCATCATTCAAGTTGGCTCTCATTCATTGAGACTGCTCTGAGCCAGGCACCATACCTAAGGCACTTTAATGCTTTTTCTCTTTTCTTTTCTGAATACTCACAACAGTCTTCTAAAATAGATATTCTGACCACTCCCATTCCATAGGTAGAAAACACAAGGCTCTGAGAGATGAAAAGATTTAACCATAATTCTATGTCTTTAATGAAGACATAGAAGGTGAATCAAACATAACTGAGGCCAAAGCCCAGACCCTTAACTGCTAAGCACCCAGCCTCTTGAGTCTGATCTTGAGGTCAGGACTAGCCCCAGGCCTCCCACCTCCAGAAAGCCCTCCCATCATCATCCTTCCGTAGCAACCACTATTTGTGCCTGAGTCTCCCTGAGCCCCCAGCGGCGGTGCTGACATTCCAAGCATATGTGCAAGCCTCCCTGGCACATCTGGCAGAGCCCTGGGCTTGCTGGAACACAGGGAGATAGTGGGGAGGAGGGAACTCGGGCAGGAGCCTGCACTTAATGCTTTGAGCACTCCAAATGTAGATTCAGTTCCCATCTCTGGGGGAGCTGATTGCCTAGGAAGCCTGAGTGGTGGTATCACATTGGCTGGAGCAGGTAAGGATGGATGATTATGGCTCGAGTTCTCTGTTTTCCCGTTAGTTACTAAGCAACGAACCAGAGTGAAGGCAGGACCTAAGTGCTTAGAATACAGGAAGCAGGCAGAAGCATCTGTCAGAGGCCACATGGGTTATTCATGAGGAGTGAGTAAGCAGAGGCTGGGGGCAGTGAGGTGGACCAAGCACCTGCTGGCTGATTGGGGTGGCCCACCTTGCACCCTTCAGCTATAAACACTAAGAGGTCCCAAGATAGCCAGGGTCTGATGAGAAAAAGAAAGGACATTGCCACTGACACATTTTGGGGCTTGTGCTTGGCACATATCTTCCTGGAGCCTTGATTCCCCCTGCATCAAATGGGCACATGTCTTTGGTCACCTTGGCAGGGTGGTGGGTAACGAGGGTGACATGAACACATTGGTGGACTGTGAAGAGCCATGCCACATGAGAGGTCACCACTACCATGACATTCATTCAGAGCCCAAAGTTGTGGGTGGGTCCACCTTGACATTTTCTAGACTGCTTGCAGATCAATAGAGCCAAGAAGAGTGGGCATTGGAGATATCTTTCTTGATGCTCTGCAGGACAGGCCACCTTCTGTAAGTGGCCTTTCTCTCTCTGCTGCACCTCACCTTTTCCCGAGACCCTTTGGAGACTGCCACATTGCCCATAACTTCCTTGGCCAAACTCTGTCCAGCCAGAATGAGCTCCTCATGCTGTGGGAGCTCCCTGCCAGTGGCCATCTGTCCACCCACAAAGATCTCCTTTCCAACACATCTGAGCTGCTTTCACCCCACTCAACAGCCAGGGGGAAGGAAGCTTGTGGACACTGGGGTTGTGGTGGTAGGAATGTTACAACCCAGGAGGGAACCCCACCTTTCAGCAGGCCCCTCCTAGAAGGGGTCCCAGACTGGGATTTTCCAACTCCAGGCAGTGGGTTACACTTCTGCAAATGAAAATTACACTTTCATTATCTTTCCTAAGGAGAATAAGGAAGAAAGCAACAAAACCGAAGCATGTTCTGACACATCATGATACTGAACCACAGCCATAAGAAGCGTCCCTGGTCTTGCCCCACCCCAGACCCACTCCTTCGAGAGAGCTCACAGAAGCAGGGCTAATGCAGATGAGGCCCTGGCCATAAGGTAAGTAGAGGTCAGAGGGACTAGAACCCTCAGGGAGGCTGGGAGAAGCTATCCTCACCAGACACACACTCCAGAGTGTCTTTCTAGACAGGAGGGCTGGGTTTTCCACTTCTACAGACCAGCCAGGATCCAGGAGACCTTTGACTGTCCCTTCAGGCCTCGGCTCTGACGGGTGACTTTTGTCAGCTCTGGATCACTCAACATAGCAGAGTAAGGTCACACAAAGTGGCAATGAATCCTTTCTGAGAGATTTTTTCGGGGTCTTCACACCTTGGGATTGATTTCTAGAAGTGAAGTCTGAGTTTCTAGTTAAATCTGAAGGTATGGCTGCCCGTTCCAGCTGTCCTGGAGAAATGTGGGCAGAAATACTGTACACCAGCTAAACGGGGTGTCCCAAGAGGCCTAGGCCTTGCTGTTAGACTGGAAGGTCAACATTAACTTAATACATCCAAAAGGCAGGAGGTGCAGATGGTTGGGCACAAGGAGAGACCAGGATTCTGTACCACCCAGCACAGCCTTGTTCTACAGCCCTTGAGGATTAGTCTACTATTTGTGGTATCTTGGGACCTGATTTCACTAGCGTGGGCTTCTTATTTAGTCCAGATGTGCCTTAGACACTTGCTCTTGCCAGGTGCTGTCTATACTGGGTAATGGGACACAATCTACCTGCCCTTGGGAGACCTCAGGGAGATAGGAGAGGAGTTCAAGGAAGACAGGATAAGGGCTTACAGAATTCAGTCATGAAATACAAAATGTAGCTGGGGGGCCAGATGACAAGAGGGATCACCTTCCCCAGGCCAAAAAAAAAAAAAAAAAAAAAAAAACTCATAGAAGAGGAAGCCTTTGAACCTGGCCTTGAACAATAAGGAGCATTTGGGATGGAATACGGGTATGTGAAGTGCCAGAGAGTTTGTGTTCCTCAAATCCATACAGGAACAAAGCTGATCATTGGAGGTGGCTTTATGGTATGTGCCAATGAGTTTCTACAGGAAAAATTCCTGGAGATGGAGTGTGGGACAAAGGATGTGTGCATTTCTCACTGTAGTAGACATTGCGGTTGCCTCCACTGAGCACCTCTGGGTTCTTTAGCGAGAGATCTCTTAGCACTCTCCACCTTTTGCATCAGCATCTGCTTTCTGCTCAGAGGTGAGGATGGGATGCTCATCCCTTTCACAAGGGAGAAGTGCCAAGCATGGTGCCCAGCCTACAGGAAGTGCTTAGAAGATGCTTGCTGTCCTTATTCTCCCTTTCTGATACCCAGGACCAAGTAGGCTGCCCTCACCTGTGTCCTGCCACACCTCCAGAGCTAGAGCACTATCTCCTCCTCCAGCTGGATGCTCCTAAGGAGAAGGGTAATTTGCATCTGCTGATCCACAAAAACTGATTCGGTGCCAGGCTTAAAGGAGGGCTCAGGGAGAGTTTGTTGTGTGATTGCTAGATAGTAAGATGGTGTGGACTGTCTATCCCCCTCTTCCCATGAAGTGGGACCAAATTATCTCCAAATGCTAGTCCACCAAAACCCCACCCTGACAGGTGGTATGCCCCATTTGCTGCATGGAAAGATGGACATACTCATAATACAGAAAACAAGACTCAGAGAGGATAGGTGGCATGTCCTACTGTCTAAACACAGGAGAGATGAAGCTAGCACTAAACTCAGTTCTGCAACCTTGACTCCATCTTGGGTTGGGCAGAATCCATGGACATGTGTTTTTGATTAGCTAAATGTGGCTGGGGACAGGGGGTCCCTGAGGTGAACAGGCTGTGTGACCTCAGGGAGCCACAGAGGTGAGTCTCTTTTCCATCCTCTCAGGAGCTCATCCATGGAAAGTTCTCTCACAGTCCTGCGGGTAAGCCTGTACCACCCCACGCTGGGCACTGCCGCCTTCATCAATGTCCCACTGGAGTTGCAGCATGACACCAGCCCACTGCTGATTGGCCGGGGACATGACACCCACCTCCAACTGCAGGTGCCCCACCTTTCCCGCCGACACCTGTCCCTGGAGCCCTACCTGGAGCCCGGCAGCACTCTGCTGGCCTTCTGCCTCAAGAACCTGAGTCGCAAGAGCTGTGTGTGGGTCAACGGGTTGCTGCTGAGGTTCCTGGAGCAGGTCCCCCTGAGTGTCACCAACAGGATCTCCTTTTCCAATATCCAGATGACTATCCACATAGAGAGAGGCACCTCCCTTGAGGCCTTTGTTTGCTGCTTCCATATGAGCCCCTCACCCCTGATTTACAGACCCAAGGCCGAGGAGACAGATGAATGGGAAAGCATCCCCCAGGGGCAGCCCCTCCTGGGTTCAGAGGAGCGAACTCCAGTTCACCTGGGGTTCTCTACATCCCCTCCCAGACTTGGAACAGCCCACTGCAGTCAAGCCCTGGAGGAGGAACAGAAATATAGCTCTAGAGGGAGCTGCCAGACACTGCTCTCTGCTAGCCCTGCTGCTGAGAGCAAGGCTTGCTGAAACAGGGCTTGAAATATTTGAGCTACATCATGCAAAGTTGACATGGAAGGTTGACATTTGAGGCATGCTGACTGCCTCACTTATAATGAACCAATTCTGCAAACACTGAGCAGCCAGGGGGTGGAGAAGCGCCCTCAGTGGCTAGAAGTAATGGGAACTTCATATACTTTTAGAGGCCCTGAGGGGTTCTGGGGAGACTCTCTCAGCATTTCCCCACATTCCCCGCCTTGTCTGACTAGGAGTTACTTTATGTTGCTCATTTCGCACACTGCATAAGAGGAGGAGTTTGAGGTTGCAGCAAGAATGCACGGACACATGTAGCAATTACGTTTGTGGTAGCTTGGGGTTACCTTCAGCTTTCAAATACCCACAGGCACTCAGGGCTTAGGGAAGCCTGGGTTTAATAAACTGCAAGTATTTCATTAAGCTGGCATACCCAATAGGATTCTCTGATCCCCATATGGGCCACGTGATCGCCACGTTGTCATGCGGAGGTGGGGGTGGGAAACCTAGAAGAGGTGTAAGAGGAAATTGGAAAGGTAGAGGCTCACATTTCTGGAAAGATGCAGGCAGAGCTCAGTACTTCCAGGATGGGAGCCAGGAGCTGGGACTGCCTGGAAATCCATTGTCACCACTGTTACCATGGCCTTCCTCATCCTCACACTCTCCCATTCTCTGTTACTTCTGGATCAAAGCTTTGGCCAAACCAAGAGCAAAAAAAGGTCTTCAGAAAAAGGTGTTTTCCCAGAGCAAATGGGCTCTTTCAGGACTAATTCTGCAAGTGGGGATGTTGTGTTAGAATTCAGTTCAGAAGTTATTATACTCAGATGTATCATTTATCAGTGGGCAGAGGCAGTCTTTCCAAAAAAGGGATTGATAAGGATCTGGGCAGGCCAAGGATGGGAGAATGCCTCCGTGAACTGGGGGTGCAGCATGCTGGCAGCCACTTGCCACGCTATCCTGGGAGTGTGGACTAGAATCAGTGTCCATCCATGTAATACAGGGTGGGACCTACAAACTCAGATGGTCACCATGGTCCAGGGTATCCAAGATGCTGTACCCACTGTGACGTGTGTCTGTGGGGCTCTATAACCACCTCTGACTTTTGCCATTTCCCATCAAAGAAAGACCCTTTTGCACCCATGGCAGGCCATAGGAGGTTCAACTCTGCTCCCAGACCCTCAGCCTCTTCCCTCTGGGGAAGTTAGCACTGGTCAAGACCCAGCCATGCCTTTGCTTGGGAAGCTTTCCCTCCGCTTGGAAATTAGAGCCACAAGGCAGAGGAGAGCACGGTCTGCAGGGAGGGGACTGATCCATGCTGTGAACAACCCCTTGGGACTGTTCTTCTCTCGTTTATTCAACTTTCATCAAGCACTCCTCCCCTTTTGCCAGATGTGTACAAAGCCCCAGGAACTAGCATTGAACAAGGCTGACAGTCTCCGCTTCCACAGGCTCAGGAAGACTATAGGTTACTTACATGGGTTCAGGAGCTAGTGACTTCGTTATTTGATCACCACTGTTGATTGGTGCTCTAGTATTTTCTCTCTCCTCCAGCTGGACATATTATTAAGTGACTTCGTCTACTATGGACTCACTACTCTGCTGGGTGCGGTGTATATTGCTTTATCCAACCTCACAGCATTCCAGATAGGTGATGAATTGTATTAACCACATTTTACAAGTGAGGAGACTGAGGCTTGCAAAGGTTAATTATCTTGCCCAACCCTACACCATTTACGAAATGCATGATCTTGGGAAAGTGACTTAGACTGTTTTTGCCTATATTTTTCCCTCTTGAAAATAACATGCAAAGTGCTCTGTGCCATGCCTGGTACACAGTAGGCATTCATAAGGGTCAGCCACTGTCATGGGACCTGAGAGAAGGAACTCAATAGGTATAAAGTTGAGGGCTCACTGCAAACCTGCAGCTTAGGAAGATGTGAACCCTGGCAGGGTGGCTCCCAGAACCCAAAGGTTTATTGCTTTCTGTGATTCCCTGATGGAGGGTTTGGTTTTAGCTCTGGACCTTTGAGTAGTCAGGAGGGAATTTTGACCTGTTTTTGCACCAAAAGGCCCAATAGCCAGGGTTTACAGAACAAGAAACACCTTGTTGGGGCTGGCAAGAAATGGCCACGCATAGTTTGATCTGATGGAGCCCATTGTTTGGAACTGCTGATTCTAAAGGCAGCAATGATCCCTCACAGACTGAAATGAAGCCCAAATGATGCATTACGGAGCACCTCCCACCTAGGGAAACAGAGGTCACATCTAGAGATTAGACATGAGCATCAAAGACAGAAGACAGCAAGCTGGTGGGAGCACTGTGGGTCCCCAGGTGCAGCTTCCTGACCCCTTGGAGAACTTTGAGACAAGCTGCTGCCACCGAGAGCCCCTCTCCAGGGCCTCAGTGAAGGTTCTCTTCCCTCTAGAAAGGAGCAAACCTACCCTCCTGCAGTTCTCCAAGATAGGGCAGCCCACCTCCTCCATGGCAGACTCTGTGACTTGGGTCTTTGGAATGAAGAGTCTATGAGCCCCTTGGGGACCCAGGATGCACTGAACAACAGGCTGAAGAATCGCAGTCCAGACACAGGATGGGCGGGAACCAGGAAACATCTGGTTTGCTGTTTCAGACTCTACCAACTCACGAAATCTCCCCAGGAAACTCACATTTTGCTTTTTACTAAGTTTTCAGGACAGCAAAATTCTGCTCATCCTAGGCTCCACTTTTCTTGAATAGATCCATGACACCCAACCCCACTCTCCTCACAGCTGGAATTTCCAGACCAGCTTCAGGCCCTTGGGCTATACACTTGACACCATTTCCCTTGCGGCACAGGCAGCCTGAGCAGGGGATGAGTCCCTCCCAACCATCCCCTCTGTTTTCTCCCACATACAGGGTGGCTTGGTAGCCCAGGAGTATGCAGCTCATCAGCCCCCTACTCAGGGGCACACACACCCATGTGAACACCATGGTGTGTCTGAGCTGGAGCTCTGTGGTCAGACTACTCCTGGGTTAGAATTCATGCCGCCCACTTACTAGTTCTGTGATCTTTGACAAGTGCCCGAATCTCCCTGAGATGGAGTTTATTCTAGAAAATGAGGACAATAGCAGTACCTCCCCTCTTAGGGCCATCACAGAGGTCAAATGAAGTTCCACATGTAAAGCATCTAGTGCAGTCTGCGGCACACAGTAGGTGCTCAAGAGAGTCAGATATCATTGGCTAGTCCAGTGGGACGAACTGAACTCAAGTAGACACAGGGACTAGTTCACAGGTGCACACACAAGAGCATACATCTGCTAAAAAGAGCTACATCAATGACAGTCATATAGACCCCAGAGCATTACAATTCTCTCTGAGGCAATATTGGGAAATTTAGAAGTCATCCTGCATGTAATTTAAGGCACCTTAACCTTCACACTCCTCTGCTTTTCCAAGAATGGGAATCTTCCCAATCCATCTGCTGACTTGCAGAATCCATGCAGGGCAACGTGTCAATGGAAACACACTTGCCCCCACACAGCCACAGAGCAGGGCCCCAAAGCCCAAGGCAGTGCCATGAGGAAGTAATGGCAGGCACATCAGATGATCCAGTTTTGCTGCAGCCTAGGGAAAGGAAGCCTGTGGCTGATCAGGGCCGTCCTATGTGGGGCATCAGCACACTAAGGCTACATATTCCACATTTGTCTTTCTAGTAAGACCTCAAGCTCCTTACAGACAAAGACCACTGTTGTTGGAGCTGGAAAAAAGGCAGATGGACAGACAGATAGGGCATTGGTGGTCAAGGCAGCCATTCAGGGTGCTGAGGCCTGAGCCTGGCTTCTTAGGCCAGGTGCTGGCAGGTGAGGTCCACAGTGCAGGGAAACCAGTCACCAGCATGAGAGAGAAGATTGTGGAGCCTGGGCTGACAGTGGAGGCAGCTGGGACTCAGTGGGGCAGCCCAGAACCTCCAAATAGGGCAGAACAAGGAGGTGCCTCCTTCTCATTCCTGAGCCTCTGTAGCTACAACTCAAGAGGAACCTGAGGTTTGGGGGTTCTTTGTGGTGACTGCTGAGAAGGTTGATGGATTCGACAAGGCACCATGTCAAGGAAAGTGAGAGATAGCTCTCAGCCAGTACTGCCAGTCCCCAACAGAGGCACATAGGAGACAGACAGCCCCAGGAGATTCTAGGAGGGGCCCTGAGCAGTAGCAGTCAGGAACAGGCCTAACTGCATTGAGTCAAGCCTGTTGCCCACCAAACATCCACAGGATCTGTTCTGAGTCCTCTCCCTGACCCTTGTGCAGTGGGGGCCACCCCATGCAGACCCTCTTCCCCAAACTCAACAAGCAACACAGCCTTGTTATACTCTCATTTTCCATCTGCACACACCAGAACTGTTAAAGAGATTCCCTGAGACCCTAGGAGACCAGAATGTAACCCTGCTGGAGGCATCTGCATCTTCTTAAAAAAAAAAAGGTCGGAGAGGGCAATGCTTAAACTGAAAGAGCATGTTTCATAGAAGAAAGAGCGGCATTAAAGGTTTCCAAGCAGGTCACCGGAGGACAAGGTCTGGTGGTGGCTGATATCACCATAGTCCATGTGGTCATCTGTCCCCTCCCTCCAGCATGGCTTCCCTCTGTCAGCTCTACCTACGTCCCACTCACTGTCATCCCAGGACCGCAGCCCATCCAAGATTAGAAGGAAAGAGTAAAAGTCTAGCACCTCAAACTGTAGGAGGAGATGCCGTGTCTAATGAACTCGGTTTGTGTTGTGGGACTGTGATTCCTCTTACCTTTAACGTGAACTCACAGGAGGATTAAAGTGAAATAAAACCTACCATTTGAGTTACATTCTCAGCTGATTGGAAACATGCATTACCTCCGCGTGACCGGGCTGTGAGAAGGGAAGTTATTATCTTTCTTTAGAGTTTGTAAACTCTTTATGGCTGGAGCAGCTTTAATCCTGCTGGGGGAAAAAATGAAGCAGGAATAAATTGCTCCCATTTACCTTTGTTTTCCAATCACACGCTCCAGTGGGAACAAAAAATCCTAAGTGGACAGCCAGGTGATCCCCGACAGAAGAGTTTAATTATTTTCTTCTTTCAGGCACATGAGTTGAAAGGGGTTTAAAGTGACATTTGGCAAGGGGGCTTATGCCACAAAAATGTGCACTCTGGTGAGGATGCCAGCACCCCCAGGGTTGTTACTAGGTCCTCTCCCTTTTCTTTCCAGAGGAGAATGGCCTCTATACCCACAATGCCCACTTCTCAATGGGGTACTTGTCACAAAGCACCCTGCTCTGGACATTTGGGAACAACCAGGAAGAAGCCAGAGAAAGCACAGATCTGAATCAAAATCAAATCAATGTGGATATGAGGGACAGAACTGTGGGGCCTGGGACTCTGGAGAAGCAGCAGATTTTGCTCCTCCAAGGTTATTTCTCTGATCCTGTGTTGCTTAACAACACAGAGTTTATGTGTATCAGGTATGGGCAAAGCCATCAGGGAACCCCCTGGCTCTAGCTCTCTAACAGCTGGAAGAAGGTCTGGCTGAGATGTCTGCCTTGCTTTCCTTTAAGGACAGGGGTACTGTGGGAGACTGCAGAATAAAGCAGAGTCAGGGGCTGTTGGAGGAAGAGATCAGCCAGACAGGCAGACCTGGTGTTTCTAATTGCTATGAGGAGCCAGAACATCATGATGTCACTCTTCCCAAGAGCCTGCTGCAGATGTGCTGGGAACATGGGCCCTGTTAAGTTACCTTGTTTAGGAGATGTATCATAAGGATCTAGTCAGGAAAACAAAAACCAGTCTAAGTATGCGGGGTGTGGGGTGTGGGGGGGAATTATTTCAGGAAATTGGGTACACACGTGGCAGAATTCCTGAGAAGCCAAATAGGAGTTGTAATTGAGGGATTATTGTGAGTAGGAAGTTACTGTCACTACTGGCTACAACCCCTGGAGCTGGAGGGGCAACCACGAGAGGTGGTGTAAGCAGAACCAGAGTAAACGTTATCCAGGCAAAACTGGGATGGCCAGAACTGCCCTGGACAGCCGGTTCCCTTCCCCTGCTGCCATGCAAGCGGGGACCTCAGAGAGAGGCTTCCCATGGCAGACTAGAGCCACAGAGGAGAGGTAGCCGCCCACAACTGACTCAGGTGACTCCATCTGAGATTCTGGGTAAGAGGGAGAAACACCCTGGCTTCTCTCCTTTTCTGGTCACTTTTCTCCCTCCAATGCTTCCCATTGGCTGAAACTAGAAAAAAGGCCCTCCCACCAGGGCCTCCCATTGGCTGACGCTAGCTAGACCAGCTGGCACGCTGAGGCAGGCCGCCAGAGAGAGGAGGGAGGTAGAACCCTGATCGAGCAGAGGAGGGGAAAAAAAAAAGCGATGGGTTTAAAGACAGTCAAATGCCAGCGTGAGCCAGTTAATATGTCCATGTCACTGCCCCTCAGCCTTGCCTGGGGCCCCGGGATGGGCACCAGATAGGAAGAGACAGAGGGGCCACAGTGCTCAGGGGGGCCCCTTAAGGGGATGAGCAAAAATAGACTACCCCTCCATCACCATCCTCAACTTAAGTGACCCTCAGCCTCTGTAAGAAAGGAAAGAGGAAGGCAAAGAGACAGGTTCAGCATGGGGAAACACAGAGGAGTGCCAGGTGTGGCCTGGATTGGCCTTCACACATCCCCTTCCACCTTCTCCCAGAGAGGAGCCCTCTCAGTCCCAGATCTAAGCCAGTATTGGAACATTCAGATGGGATCTATCCATGCCCAAAGGTCCTTTCCTCAGCAGGAGCCCACACAGTGAGTACCCACTGTGTACTCTGTGCTGTGCCTGGCCGGTTTCAGACCCAAAATGCTGGAACCTCCCACTTAGGGGAAGGGTGCCCACACCACTCAGCAGAGCCCTGTCTGTACCTTGCCAGGCTCCTGGTACCCAGCAGGTCCTCAGCAAGGGTCTGTTGACTGATGACAGGAGACTGAAATGGGGGGAAGAGTTTGGGTGGGCTGAGAGCAAGCATCCAGGGACAGGGCTTTGAGAAGAACCATTACCATTACCCGGTGGAACTATTACTGCCTGCCGGAAGAGGTTAGACTCAGCCACTCCTTGCACTCCACAAATACTCTTGAGTCAAATTGGCAGGAAAATTAGTTTTATTCAAATCCAGCTTTGAAGGAAGATAACTGCTTTGCCCTGGTTTGATCAAACTGCATACAAGTTCATTTTTCCTTTTTTTTCTTTTTTCTTTTTCCTATTTCTTAAGTGAGTGGGTAGATGAACCTAGCCAGCCCAAGATCCAGGCAGGGTTCCTGGGTTAGGCGGCCAGTAACACAACCTCAATCAAAATAAAATAAATCGAAATAAAGCTGCTGGTGAAAAGGCTAAATGCACTTTGAACAACCAAGTGCTCTGGGTGGAAAGAGGAAGAGTAAGTGGTTCCACTTAGCAAATAGAATCATCGTGCATACAGGACCTTGAACCCAGGAGCCAGTGGCAAATTCCAGCAGAACCTGCGGAGCCCCACATCCTTGATTCCTCTGCTATCAACCAGCAGCTTTCCTGTTTCCAGATGGGTCCTGTCTCCTTGGTATAGCATGACCACCCAGCCTGTCACCGCTCAGAAACATGCACACAAGGTCCAGAGCTCCCAAACTTGGGGATCTGCCCGGGAGTATTGGAAGCAGGCAGACTGGAGGCTGGAGGCTTCCAGAACCAGCGCTGGGCCTCATTACTGAGGAACA